CACACACACACACACACTATACTCACCTTCTTGAGCACCTCTGCTGGCAGCAAAGTCTCAATAGGAAGCTCCCACCAACAGTCACTACCCTTCTCTTTGAAGAGCGTTGCTATATGGGACACTGTGTGTCTGCAGAGGCCAGAGACAAGGAGAATGTTTAATATTTAACATATATCTGTGTGTGTGTGTGTGTGTGTGTGTGTGTGCGCGCGCATGTGTGTATAAAAGAGGCTTAGTGTTTGTCTGCAATACCTCTAAAAATGTGACCGTGCATGTAGCATTTTTGTGTACAAGCATGTGTACGGGCCTGTTTGTCTGCATTAGGTGCTCGGTATCAGCTTACTTGTTGATGAGAGCTTCTCCAGTCTCTTTGTGGTAGAAGACCGGGATTGGGACGCCCCAGCTTCGCTGTCTGGAGATGCACCAGTAGGTCCGTCTGTCCAGCATGGCCAGCAAGCTGCCCCGTGCCGACTCAGGCAAAACACGCACCTTCTGCAATGCATCCTGGACAAACACACACACACACACACACAAACTGTAAATGTGAAGCGAGTCCCCTCCTCGAAACATAAACCACATTTCTTCCAGCAAACACAAACTGCATCACATTCTGTGCAGCTGGAACAGATTATGTCTTCGAGGCAGACAGAGGAGCTCGACAAAAACTAGTCCAGCCATGATGTCTCTTCCAGCCCTACCTTGGCCTTCTCTTTAAGCGACGCTGTGTTGATAAACCACTGTTTGCTGGGCCTGATGACGACAGGCTGCTTTGTCCTCCAGTCATATGGGTAACTGTGGACACACTGCTCCTCCTTCACCAGAGCCCCACACTCCTTCAGCATGGAAATCACTAACAAACACATGTCACAGGCAAAGATATGAAAAACTGTGCAACCTCTCACAGTGCACTCACACACACTGGAGAGTGTATTTTTATTTATTTACCTTTGTCTGTCCCTTCTGTCATCACAGACAGATTCTGTAGCTCAGGTCCCGCCAGTTCAGTGAACTTGCCGTCCTCATCCACCATGCACTCCTTTGGGAGGAAAAATAACCCACATACAATTACATAGCAGCACAAAGCATGTTTAACCATGTTATGTCAACCCATTATCTGCTTTTCTTTACAAATTAGTTTGGAGTTTATTGTGAAATATAAAACCTTGCATTGTTCCAACAACCAGCTTTTCTCGATTCCAGATTGTTTAATAATTAGAACCTACCACAGACAGTTTAAACTGTGAAGCCACACTGTAATCCTCCATGCCGTGAGCTGGTGCTGTGTGGACCAATCCTGTGCCTTTTGCCATAGTCACATGATTGGCAGGCAAAAGTGGCACTTCCTTGTCAGGAATTGTGGGATGTTTGCAGATCCCACCTTCAAGTTGGGAGCCTTGGAACAGAAGGACAGGGGACAGTAGCATGGTTAACCTTGTAACTGACAACACACCCTGAAGACTGCTCTGTGTGTGTGTGTGTG